AACTGTAGGTTCAGTATCCTAACTGTGGGCTCTGCTTTCTAACTGTAGGTTCAGTGTCCTAACTGTAGGTTCTGTGTCCTAACTGTGGGTTCTGTGTTCTAACTGTGGGTTCTGTGTTCTAACTGTGGGTTCAGTGTCCTAACTGTAGGTTCTGTGTCCTAACTGTAAGTTCAGTGTCCTAACTGTGGGTTCTGTGTTCTAACTGTTGGGTCAGTGTCCTAACTGTAGGTTTAGTGTTCTAACTGTAGGTTCTTTCATGTTGTAACTGTAGGTTCTTCAGTGTTCTAACTGTGGACTCTGTGTTATAACTGTAGGTTCTTTCGTGTTGTAACTGTGGGCTCTGCTTTCTAACTGTAGGTTCTGGTGTAACTGTGGGCTCTGTGTTCTAACTGTAGTGGAATGAGATGTTTCTTCTACTCTTGTATGTCTGGAGCTCTAAATACCCTGAGTCATCCATATGTTTTCTCCTGAATTTGGATGATTGTTCTAAATACATTATTTATACCTTTAGCCTGGCAATTTCTCCTTCTATCCCCATGACTTACAATTTCAGTCTTTTGATGGTATCCAATATATATGTTGTATTTTATACTTTATTATTTTATTTTACTGTCAATGTCTGAATGTTCTATTTCATCCATCTTAACATACATTCATGATAACTCACTTCCACTTAATCCATTCCATTGGTGTTTTTTTCTACTGAGTTTTTCACTTGTAAAATGTTCTAAAATTTCAGTAAGATTTTTCATTATTTCTATAGTTCAATTCTTTCATATCTTGTATTGACCTTATTTCACCCAGCACTCAGTTAATTTAGGTGTTTTTTCTCTTTATTTACACATTCTTACAATTATTCTTCTGAATTATTTCACCTAATTCACTTGTATTGAAACTCATTACTGTGGAATATCTATGTATCAGAGGGGACATACATCTTCATTTTTCCTGTTTCTTGTATCTCTACAGTGGGTGGGGCTTGTGCATCAGGGAATCTTTCCATAGTCAGCTTTTTATAAGCTATAATCTTTGAATTGAAGCATTTGCAAGATTCAGGTGGGACTAGTATACTTGTAGTAGTACACTAGCTAAATTCCAAGTTTACATTCTCTGGGAACCAAGTGCAATCCCCTACATTACCTCAGAGTGTAGAATCAAAACTACCCAAGAGGTCCACTATGAAAATTTGGTATCACTGAGGTTTAAAAACCTCGTCTTTCATCATAGAGCCTTCATCCAGTAGCTGATGGAAACAGAAAGAGATCCACAGCTAAGCACTGAGCTGAATTCCAGGAATTCAGTTGTAGAGAGGGAGAAGTGATGAGCAAAGGGGTCAAGACCATGCCAGGGAAACCCACAGAAACAGCTCACCTGAACAAGGGGGAGCTCATGGACCCCAGACTGACAGTTTGGAAACCAGCATAGGACAGAACCAGGCCCCCTACATGTGGGTGTCAGTTAGGAGGCCTGGGAAGTCTATGGGGCCCTTAGTAATGGAACAGCATTTATACCTAGTGTACGAGTGGACATTGGGAGCCTGTTCCCCATAGAGGGATACTATCTCAGCCTAGACACATGGGGGAGGGCCTAGACCCTGACCCAAATGATGTGACAGGCTTTGACGACCCCTCATAGACGGCCTCACCCTTTCTTTGAAGCAGAAGAGGGATGGGATGGGGGCTGGTGGGGGACATGGAAGAATGGGAGGAAGAGGGAACTGGGATTGATCTATAAAATAAGATTGTTTCTAATATAAATTAAAAAAGACGGAAAGAGCCTCATTCTTCTAACTTCAATAACTATTGGGAAAAAAGAACAAGGCAGTAAGGTATATAGTAAGATATTAATTACTAGGTGGGTGTAGGGGTGGATGCCTTCAAACTCAGGAGGTGGAGGCAGGAAGATCTCTGTGAGTTCAAGGTCAGCCTGGTCTACACAGTAAATTCCAGGACAGCCAGGGTTACACAGTGAGGCTGACTCAAAAAGAAAGAGAGAAAAGAAAGGTATTAATTACTAAGGTTATGGATAGAGGAGGAACAGACTGGATTGTGATAGTGATTATTGGGTCAACTGAGAAAAGCATTGAGGAGGGAAAGGTGGCTGGAATGGGGAAGCCAAGATATACTTAGGGTCCACATATGGAAGGTTACAGTTAAGTAGAGGAACTAGGAAGACGGCACTGTGACTAAGATACTTGCTGTCCAAGCACAAGAATCCTAGTTTGAATCCCCAGAACCCATGTAAACTGGCAAAGTAGTGCATGTCTGTTCCTATGGTGAGATGGGAAGTGGAGACAGGAGACCCATGGGAGCTCACAGGCAAACAGGGTGGAAGGTGAAGACTCACAAATGAGATTGTTCTCCAATTCCTCATATGTACATACATGCACACTCACTCACACATGAACATGTGTGGGCACACGTATGTACACACACACACACACACACACAGAGGGGGAGAAATAATAAGAGCAGGGTATGAAGAAGAACAAGGAAATGGGGTAGGAATGAGAGGTGTCTATAGACTGTGTATAAGAATAGTAAAGAGTACAAAATGGAATGAGTACTAAGCATACAGAAAAATTATAAAACCCGAGTAATATAAAACTAAAACAAGATCATTAAGAGTTATTTGTGCATAGTAAAAAAAAGCACAAAATAAAAACAAATAGGGCTAAGCGAAATAAATGTATAATAGATAAAAACACATCATCACATCAGTGCGTACTTCCTTCTTCAGTGGATGGGTTCTGAACTCCTTCCCTCCCATGGATACTTCATGCACCAAAGACTACTTGGTTCAGCTGTATAGCTCTTGGTTTCTACACTGTCAGTACATGTGACAGTGAGTGTGTCCTCCAGCTTCAGAGTCCACTGGCCCTGACAACGTCCGTTCCTGGTACACCACGCTGTGGTTTAGTGCATGCATCGTATCTTGTCTCTCTCCGGCACTGATGTGGGACAGGGTAAATGTGAAAGCCTTGCTGGCAGCACCTCGGTCCCCAGAGGCATGCAAGCAGACTCTCTGCTTCAGGCCCGCATCCACCCCTGGCCTTCCTCTCTCTGTTCAGGGTGTGCCCAGCCCTTGGTCCTGCCTCCACACCTCTTCTTCCTCTGTGGCTGTTGTGCAGCAATGTTGGTGTGGAGGAGAAGGGATTATAAGACTTTGTATAGCAGCTCCCACTGACCTCAGCTGGAACCATGCACACTGGAGGCGAATTTGCTTCAAGTTCCTTACCCCTGAGTTGTAGAGCCTGCACTGGTTCTGGTCTCTCTGACAATGGTTTGTCCATTCCCTGATCAGTTCAGCTAACCACTGCATGAGGTGGGGAAGCACTTTCTGGCAGTTCTTACTGACCTTGGCCAAACCCATGTATAGCTGGGCACCAGTTCCTGCCTGTTTCCCTGCAGAGACCTCACCTGCTTCATAAAATCATTTGTAGCTATTGAAAGAATTAGACATCATGTGTATTACTCTGGCCATTCTTTTCCACCAATTTTAAATGTACAAGGTTTCTAATCTGCCATCTTACCTGGAAGCCCCTACTTCAAAATGTTGATGCTTCAAAACTGATGGTCATCCTCCCCACCCCCGGCAGGTGGAATAAAACAAAATCATTATTTAACTTATACAGTATATACCTCAATTGGAGTGTGTTTCTCTCAAGGTCTGGTTTAGCATAAAGACTTTTAAACATACACACATACCTCAAATAATGAATTCAGAGGGAATTATTTTCTCTTGAAAAAGTTCCTTATAAGGTTGTACAAATCTCTGAAAGATGAACCTACCAAAATGGGAATTACAAAACTAAGGTGACCTTAATGAAAACACTGATAGCATCTATAAATGAAAAAGAAGCATGCACTAGGAGCAGTGATGTGTTACCTATGACCGCACTTTGGAAGTGAAGGCAAGAGAAATGCCAGCTTCAGGGCTAACATGGACTTTAACAGTGAGACCCCTCTCAAAACCCAAACAAAGCAAAGCAAAGGAACACACCATAACTTCATTTTAGAGGACCCAAGAGGTACCGAGGCAGCAGCACAGGTTTTTGCTATGTTGTCCAAGTCTTCCCGTCAGGACTGTACTTTGTTTGGCTGCATGACAAAGACATGGGGAAATGTTCAAGCCCACAAGGTAATCTGCACGATCATGTCTTTATGTCCAAGGAGTCAGAGTGATGCTGGGTAAGAGTGCTACCCAGAGAAAGATCATGTGGGAAGCTGCTGTCTGCTGGGTCAGGTCCTAGCAGGCAACACGCTTCTAGAAAGCTATCTATAGGAACACACTACAGGAGGGACAGATGCATTGTGGAACCACGTGCCAAGCAGAATGGCGACAACAAAGTAAAAAATGTGGACCACAAAGGCAGAGTGGGTCTGGATAGATTTCTGAACAACTCAGCTCTAGACTACTTACTTCCAGATATCTTGTCACCTGAGTCATAAAAATTCATTTCCAGCCAAACACATTCCTAATTGGAGAAACACTGGTACCTGAGATTTCTCTGCCTCAAAAGTATGATTTGAGGGGTGGGGATGGAGTTTCTCTATAAGTCACATCCCCTGGCACACATTCAAAGTTGCCTCAGGGAAAACTATACCTTACATAAGCTTTATATGGCCCCAGAGTAGACTATAGATATGCATCGAGAAAAGAGGACTGGGAAGAGGCCCAGGTGGTAGAACGCCTGTTGCCTAAGCTTTAGGAAGTGAGCTTGGATTCCAGTTAGTCTTGCTGAATTAATGAGCTTCAGACAGATCTGATCTCAATAGAAAGCAATAGAGGAAGACACCTGATGCTGTCCTCTGGCTTTCAGAGGTCACACATGTACTACATGCACACAGGAACATGTACACACATGCACTGGCATGCACACAGGAACACGTATATATGCAACCCCCCTCCATTTTCAAAAATGAGAGTTTCAATACATACAAAGTCTAAGAATACAAAAGTCCCAGGGTACAAAATATTGTATTTTGGTGCCACTTTACCTTAGAAATGTTGCTTGGATGACTCATGGAATGTCCCAAAGTCTTCTCATTCTGCCAGGAAGCCAAAACAGGTAGTAATTATTAAGCTGTAGTATGTAGTAAACATATTAAGCTATGATTAAAAAGAGCAAGCAATCAATATAACACTTCTAGTAACAGGTTATTCCTGTAAGCACAAACCAGTTTACTAGGTTAGATTTTAAAATTGGAAATTTGGGCAAAAGTAAATAAAACATTGGTTCTTGCCCTAAAAGAACTTATCAAGGAAGGAGCAGGATGTTTGAACTATAAAAACAAAGCTATGACAACTGTCTTAAGATACTTTCAAGTCATAGTTCAGTCATGGGTAGGTCCCACTTTGCTTAGCCAGAACTGCTTAGTGAAGTGTACCACACACCCTCCTCCCTTTTAAACAAAAACCTCGCTGTCAGTACCCCAAGGACAGAGTGGGAGTCACTGGATGGACCCCTTTATTTTGTTGTCATTCCCAAGAAGAAACCACACCTACATTAGGCACTAAAAGGCTGATATCCGATCAAAATGTCAGTGGTTATGAGAAGACTGGATTATTGCAGGTCCAGAGCCAAACTACCTTGGGGTATCTAAAGCTCTTTAAAAAATCCACTACTGCGCACTTCTGTGTGTGTAGTCCCTGTGGCTGTTAGATCACAGACCCTCCAGCTGCTCCCTTATACATCAAGCTTCTTGCTCCTGGCAAGCTCCTCCTATCCAGCAGGCACCTAAACAACTCAGGTCACATTAATCTAAGCCCCTCCTCCTCCCTAGGAGACCGTGAAGAGTGGGCACCCTGCTTTGTCTGGTGGGACTCTAGTGTCTCTTGCTTCAGAACCTGACCATACTTGTGGTTTTGTTTGATAACTGTGTCAATTCAACTTGCAACTATTGAGGGGCTTTAATTAAAGAAATGGAGAATATTCAATGTCTATACTTTTAAGTGATAAATGAAAATTCCTAGGCAATAGAATTAGACATTATGAAAGGACACCTTGCTTTAGTTGAAATTTAAGGAAATAAAAACATATAATTGGTAATTTAAAAATTCAGAAAAGGGGAAAATGCAAGCCTCATTTGTGGATGCTATCCTATAATGTATATATGTACATACACACAACACACACAATCTTAAACAGGAATGTGACTATGATTTATAAAGCTATATTAAACAAATATACTAAGATGAACTTATTTGAAGTAAGACAAAACACATCATTAGTCATGAGGCAGTGTAAGCTAAATTAGTAGTGATGTAGTTGTCTGCTTTGCTTTTCTTTTTAATTCTTTTTACAACTTTAAGTAATGACAGAGTGACAAGCATTAGGAAAATAGGTGAGATTGTGGTGATATATTATTTACAATTTATTAAAGCTTGCCTGAGGATTCAGAAAGCAAAGGCAGCCTCAAGCTATAGAGATCAGACAGTGGTGGTACACACCTTTAATCCCAGGACTCAGGAGACAAAGATAGATGGATCTCTCTGAGTTCAAGACCACCCAGGGTTACATGAGATTGAATCAGTTTAAAAGAGTAACAGAGCTCATGCCTTTAATCCCAGCACCAGAGAGCTACAAAAGATAGGATCAGGGTCTTCAGCAGTCAGTCTCAGAATTAGTCTCCAGCCACACTGAGGAGAGCATAGCAGTCTCAGTGAATCTGAGGAGCAGTGAAGTTGGGAGCAGTTTGAGGATCTCCCCTTTGGTCTGAACTGAGTTAGAGGTAAGAACTATTAGTTGGTTGCTTTGCTTTTCTGATCTTCAGCTTGAATCTTGAATCCCAATATCTGGTTCTGGGTCATTTATTTATCGTGTTACATGAAATGACTAAAAATAAAAAATAACACTTGTTCGGGAGTCATTCACTTAAACTCTGGAATTCAGCTTTCTCTTTTACTTTTCTTTCTTTCTTACAATTTATTTAAAATATTTTCTTATATGTATGTTTGTGTGTCTGTGTGGGTGTATGCCATGTGTATGTAAGTACCCTCAGAGGCCAGAAGAATGTGCTGTGTCCCTCAGAGGTCATGGCAGCTGTGAGCCACTTGACATGAATAATAGGAACTGAACTCGAGTCCTCTAAAAGAGCAGGGATCTGAACATTCCTCTAGCCTCTTCAACTTTCTCTTTTATAAAGTGGGCTTCATAAATGGATGAGGGGTGCATTAAAGAAGATGACACTGGTGGTAACTTTGAACTCTTACAGTGTGTTTAAAAAAAAAAGAAAGTCTCACTGTCTACAGCAGGGTGGCCTTATATTCAGAGATCAGCCAGCCCTCAGCACTGGGATTAAAGACATGCACCACCACACCCAGCTAAACATATTTTGTCTTGGTGGAATATACTGCTTCTCTTAATATCACTGAGTAACAGATATATGAAATTTAAAACTCCTGAAATCATAAAATAAATAACACATAGTTTCCTGTGACACAGACTGACAAATGCTTTTCAAATTGTAACACATAACATGCTATAATTAGAACAAAAAATATGGCAGCAATGTATTGAAGAAAGCATTTTTCACTATGGATCTTTATATTCATAACTGATTTTTATTATTAATTATGTAAAAAATTAATAGACATTTCTATTTCTTAAAAATTATATATGGGGGCTGAAGAGAAGGTTCAGCAGTTAAAAGCACTGGTTGTTCTTCTAGAGAACCAGGATTTGATTCCTAGTACCTACAGAACAGCTCACAATTGCCTGTAGCTCCAGTTCCAGTGGCTCTGAAGACTTCTTTTGACCTCTATGGGCACCAGACTCATACATGGTGCACAGGCAAACACCCATACAAATAAAATAAAAGTAAATCTTAAAAAAATATCCGTGTTTCAAAATATCCAGCAATTCCACTCTTAGGCATATACCCAAAGATGCACATTCATACAATAAGGACATCTGTTCAACTATGTTTATAACAGCATTATTTGTAATAGCCAGAACCTGGAAGCAATCTAGATGCCCCTCAACTGAAGAGTGGATAGAGAAAATGTGGTACATTTATACGATGGAGTACTACTCAGCGGGGGAAAAAAACAATGGAATCTTGAAATTCACAGGCAAATGAATGGCACTAGAAGAAAGCATCCTGAGTGAGGTAACCCAGTCACAAAAAGACAAACATGGTATGTACTCACTCATATATGAATTTTAGACATGGAGCAGGGGATTGTCAGCCTACAGTCCCACCACTAGAGAGTCTGGGAAACAGGGAGGGCCCTAAGAGAGATATGCATGGTATCCCCTAGAAAGGGAATGGAACAGGATCTCTTGAGCAGATTGGAAGCATGGGGGAAAGGGAGGGGAGAGGGAGCTGGGAGAAAGAGCAAGCAGGGGAGAAGAGGAGGGGAGAGTAGGACACAGGGGAGAAGGAAGTTTGAGTCATGGGAAGAATAGAGGTGAGCAGGATGAGAGATACCATAATAGAGGGAGCCATCATAGGTTTGAGGAGAGATCTGGCACTAGTGAGATTTTCAGAGATCTACAAGGATGACACCAACTGGCAATCTAAGTTATAGTGGATAGGCTACCTTAAATGCTCTCCCCCGATAATGAGATCAATGACTACCTTATATGCCATCCTAGAGCCTTCATCCAGTAGCTGATGGCAGAGGCAGATACCCACAGCTAAACACTGAACTGAACTCTTAGAACCCAGTTGCTTAGAGGGAGGAGTGATAAGCAAAGGGGCAAAGACCTGGCTAGTGAAATCCACAGAAACAGCTGACCTTAACAAGGGGGAACCCATGGAACCTAGACTGATGGCTGAGGGGCCAGAACGGGACTGAGGAGGGCAATCTTGGGGCCTCAGGTAGTAGATCAGTATTTATCCCTGGCATACGAATGGACTTTGGGAGCCCATTCCACATGGAGGGATTCTATCTTAGCCTGGACATATGGGGGAGTGCCTAGGCTCTGCTCTGGATGATATGACAGACTTTGGAGATCCCCCATGGAGGGCTTCACCCTCCCTGGTGAGCGGAGGGGGGATGGGGTGGAGGGTTAGGGGATTAGGGGGATGGTAGCTGGGATTGACATGTGAAGCAAGCTTGTTTCTAATTTAAATTTTTTAAATGGAAAAAAAGAAAAAAGATGAAAAACTTTCAGTGTCTATGTATTAAATAAATATCTAAAACTTTAAAGCTAAAGTAATCTATATCAATACAAGTTAGAATTCGTTTGTTATAAAATTATTGAAATTATACTTCCTACAGTTGTACATGAACCACAAAAGCTATCAGAAATCTTAGTTAAGAATGCACTCATTTAGACACACTTATTGACTAGCTACTACAAGCCAGGTATTGTTCTAGGCCCTGAAGAATGGGGGTGGCAAATAAAACAAAGATACCCACATTCACAGAGTCTAAATTGAGCATGATGACCCATGGGTAACTCACAGTATTTGGGAAGCTGATTCAGGAGAACCATTAGTTTAAGCTTAGTCTAGTCTATACAGCAAGACTCAGTCTCAAAAAAAAAAAGTGTTATCAGATTTGGTCCTGATTACTTTTGCACTCTGTGCCTCAGCTCAGAAACATCTCAGTTTCAACAAAGGTATCACCTACACAAAATCTAACAAAGCAAAAGGCAACATCAGAATAGCCCTGCCAAATGAAATGTCTGCAAGTGCACATGTGCACACATATACACACACATGTGCATACACACACAATAGCTCACATGCATATATGGTAAATATCATCAGCAAACAGAACAAAAACTCTTTGTTCCATCTTCTGTTTTCCCAAATGCTCCCATAGAAACAAAGGAGATGGCTTCTGCAAACAATCCCTCCTCTAGAAAAGAGCCTGAAGCTTCACTGATTCAAATACTAAATTATTTTTCTCAGGGTTTTTCAAAGCCAAACTCCACAATTCAAAATTAAATGGTCAACACTAGTTAATAAAACATATTTTATATCAAAGGATGTCAATAAAAATTGAGACGTCACATTTAAATGTTTATTGTCTTAGGAATACGTTTGACAAGTGCAAGCAATTTTCTGTTAGAAACAACGTATATCCCTGGCAA